CTCTGATACCATTTTTGAGTGGGGTCCTAAAAATGCAAAAATACAATTAATTCAAAAATAAAATTATCAATATCAAATTTTTTGGCTTAAGATAGGTGGAAAGAGTTGATGGTGAAGAAAAATTATTTTTTTATTGCAAGGGGCAAATAATTTGTCGAATCCAAAATTAGAATTAAAGTTTTAAGGACTAAAATGATTTGTTTTGAAACCTTTTATGTTAAGGGTATTTTAGGCAGTTATAAGGTTGAATAGTAAAAAAGGGTATTTTGGAAAGAGTATGGTTGAATTTGGGGTATTTTCAATAATTTCCCCCTCGTGGGGGAGGGAGGGCGTAGGCTGTGAACCCTTACCCCTGTACATCTGGCTTTAATTCTTCATTTGAAATTAACTATCCGAATTTTACTAACACATTTTGTAATTCAATTTTTGTAACTCAACTCTATACATATAGCATTATTGGAATTCTTTTTGTACTCAAATCACTTTCTTGAACCCCACTTGCCACTAAAGGCTTTGGCCTTTTTCTTGATTTTTTTATGAACCAAAAGGAAAAAGGATTTCTGGGTTTTATATAGGGATTGGGAGGTAATATTTGGTCTTGATTAGATAAAATTGGAGATGGGCGTCGAGTGAGAGTCTTCAGTTTTTGTATAGTTGGTGTGAAAAGTTAAGCTTTCAGTGCTCGATAATATGCCTGAATAGATTCTGATATTTGGATTATCCAATCTTGAAGTTAGAAATTTTAGAGTTGGGTTTTCTATACAAGAGTTGTATGAGTGCAGTCCACTGTACTACGAGGTTTAAGAAGGAATAATTTGTGAATATACTGGCCTGCGGTGTGTTTTAAATGTGATCGTGAAGGCATAATTTAGCAGTATCTGCAATTCAAGAGTTTTTATGATCAAGCTCTCTTATTTAGATTCTTGTTACTTGGCATGTAAATTTGATACGAGAATGTTATCGAGTTTCCAGTCATTCAGATATACTTCATATACAGTTTGTTGTGTAAGTAAACATAAGAGCCAGGCCAGAGAAAAGAAAATTCTGGCTTTCGTCAATCTTCAATCATCAATCATCCCACAAGCTGAAGAGAGTAGCAATTCACCTGATTGTAAGAGAAATTCTTTTTCTAATAAATCCACGAGAAACTCTAATGCTGTTGGAATTATTGGAGGTGTGATGGTCGATTCGACTTTGAATTTTGTAAAGAAGTTGACTTTGCAAGATGAAGAAAATGGTCTTCCCTTTGTCCTTTGTTCCGACCCGATCCTAAGTAAGGAGCTTTTAGACCTCGAAAGAAGTTCTTGTCGGTTTCTTTCTGGAAAAAACGAGTATGCACGTATCGATCAGAGCTCGATTATACAAAATTTAAGGCAGAAAAGAATGTTTCTCGAGAAGTCTGGAGTTTCTTGCATTGTAATGCCTTGTCATATATCACATTGTTGGCATGATGAGGTTGCAGAGGGATGCACCGTTCCTTTCCTTCATATGGGTGAATGTGTTGCCAAGGAGCTCAAGGAAGCCAAGTTGAGGCCACTTGAGGCTGGAAGTTCTCCACGAATCGGAGTTCTAACCACCAATGCAACTTTGACAGCAAGATTCTATCAGGAAAAACTTCAAACTGAGGTATCTCATTCTATTACCTGTGCCTTTTATGCAAATCTTTTAGTGCAAGTTTGGTATGCAGTACTGGATGGACAAGACTCAAGAGTGTAGTCAACAAGATTTTAACTTTTTTTTTCTTCCTTAATATTTTACATTCCTGTCCAATTCTCCTTATCAAACATGCCCTTAGTTTATTGACTTAATGTTTCTTGAAGCACATAATTAGAATATAGTTTGGAGATAGAATCAGATGTAAATATTTTTGTAACTTCAATCACAAATTACACATTAAATGAGGGATCGCTTAGGTTATGCAAGGTGAACACTGAAAAAGAAAATTCCAAGCACGTGGTTGCAAAATTGTAGTATCCAGGTTCTATTTTGATAATATTGTTGCAGAGGCATTGATCTGGCTGTCACATTCTTTTTGTTATTCGCTTTGGCATACGATAACATATTCATAGATGCTGTATGTAGCTACTTTCTCTAATGGGGCATCAACTTTCTAACTTTGATAAATTAAAGAAAATGGCTCAAGAAAGCCTCAGTTGCATCTGATAGATGTCTAATACAATGTTTGAACCCATGTGTTGGCTTCCAACAAAACTGATGATGAATGTAAAATGCATATGGATCTGTACAGTATCAAATTCGTATACCATTCCAGCTTTATCATTGACCCGTCCATTCAATGACTTCCATGCATTTTCTTATACTTGTGGCATCTTTAGTAGGCAGGATTTCATGGAGTATTAATGAAGAATTTAAAAGTTGTTCTTTATACTGTCCAGCAGTGCAGACCAAACATGCACTATACCATGCTTTGATGCTCTGCTTTTGCATTGTTTAATCTTAAACATAGATCTCCATCACTAGGATATCTATTACACTGCTATTCAGTTTTGTGCTAGTCGGTATCTTCTTTAGTTTTATGATATTCTGAATTACCAGAATAATAATAGTTTTCCATATATGCAACGTGCAGGGTTTCGAGGTTATACTGCCAGATAAAGCAACAGTGGAACACACACTGATCCCTGCAGTGGAAGCATTAAGCAGAAAAGACATTGAAGGGGCACAGAATTTGTTTAGAATTGCTTTGCAAGTTCTACTGATCAGGGCTGTCAACACTGTTATCCTGGCCTCTGATGACGCTAGGGAACTTTTGCCACCGAATGATCCTCTATGGAAGAAATGCATTGACCCTATGGATGCATTAATCAGGTCAACAGTCAAGTATGCTCAATCATCTGATGGAGGTAAATAAAGAAATTTGGGGTGCTCGATTGGTATTCATTATTGGACAAAAATGAATAGTATAATTATCCAGGTGTTAGTTTCTTTTTATTTTTAGTAGAGTTAAGTACTATCCAATCATCCTTATGCTACATGCTAAGTGTGTTGTCTAGCTTTCTATTCAACGCACATCTGAAAAATCTAGTTCTTTGCACCAACTATTCTTTATAAAGGATGTGGTACATGCATGGATCTGCATTATGTTTTCTTTGTATTTGAAGCTTTGAATAGTTTGGAGGCTTGTCTTCTACACGATAGTTATGTTCTACATCTTGCCTGCTATCCCGTGACTAGACGGCCCAGCCCACCTTTACACCCGTGCTTTGCTGTCTAAAAAATAGAAATATGTAGAGAATGCATCAATCGGCAAGAGAATCTGTCAAGACTTGAATTATATTAAAAGTGAACGTCAAAATGAAACAGTTTTAACTTCGGAATACACACTTAAAACAACCATTATCACGGAATGGTCTGGTATATCCACCAGCACCTTTAACAATGCAAAGAAAACAACAGGACAATATTACTAAGGAATGAAACCATTTCAAATCCTGGTACTAGGGTTGCTTGGATGGTCTTTGCTTGTTGGGTTGTTTGAACCAGCTGCGCTTCCCATGTTGCCAGGGAGGTTGGTGGTACCGGTTTTGTCTGCAGGGTTCATCCCAAGAGTGTTTTTCACTGCATCAGCTGCTCCAGATGCCATATTTGCAGCTCCAGCTGCTGCTCCCCGTGCAAGGTTCACAGCCCCTTGTGCCGCTCCTTTTCCTATATCTACTGCTCCTTGTGCCACGTTCTTGACTTGCGTCCCAGTCTTCAATTATAAACATGTCGTAATTAATGTCGGAAACTATAGACGAGACTATAATTGAGATAATGAAAATGGAGAAGTATTAAAAGATCCAACATTACATCTTGAAGGATGTTGGTGCCCTGGCCTTGGTTATGGATGTCAGATGGTTGGTTCAGCAGGTCATCACTTCTCATCTGCAATTGCACAAAGGATGCTAAATTGAGTTCAACAGCATGAAGAGAAAAAGAAAAGAACCGGCCTTTACCCGGTCATAATCAGTTAACCAAACGGCCAGTTATCTTATTCTTCTAACTCTAATTTCCGATAATTATGATACCCCGTGTTTGTGTTTCTTAGCATAATGCTTTTCTCAGACGGGAGTTTAGAAGTGTTGTTACGAAAATCACCTGAGCTTGACCTGGAATTTGTGCAGCATTGTGTGTGTTGTTAGGACCTTGGCTTGCCATTTTCTCTTGGTTTTTAGCTTTCTTGAATGCAAATCAGAAATCATGAATGTAATGTTTTTCCAGATGAATTTATAGTTTTGTGAACTAGGATTCTTGTTATTGTTGTACCAAAATAGGTGCATTAATCAACACATGGCACGGTGAAATTCAGTACCTTCCGGGGGACTGTTTCAAAGGGGTTGCTAAGTCAATGGAGAGGGCTTGCAGGTGGTTTTAACTGATTGTGTATGCTTATACATGACCGCATTTCAACTTGACATAACTCAATCTATGGCGTGCTATGCGGAGGCACATTTAGGCATGGAGTCGAATTAGCACTATTAGGCTCATGGCCATGTGCGTTTGGAGTAAAGTTGTTAGCTCGACCTAACAAGGACTAAGTCTATTTATTGTAGCCAATATATGCATCAAGATATAAATCCTCGCCGGAGAGTGAGAGCAGTTTGCGCGGGAGGAAGAATCAACCAGGTGCCTAAAAAAGGTCATCCACTCTTTTTTCTTAGCCCCTGTTTGTTTGGCATTATTTACCATTTTGTAGAAGATTTATGACCGTTGGTAGTAGTGATTTTTGACCACTGTCTCTCATGGTGGGACCTAGTTTTTGAAAAATAGGGTCAATTTTTTCATTTTCTCCCTACAATAATGCCAAACAAACCGGGGCTTAGTGTCGCGACATCAATAATTATATTAGTTCTTGGTTTTGTGGATAAAAATTGAAAAGAGAGGGTTGTAATCATTCCATTTTTTTTACCCATTTTTTGTGTCAAAAGCATCATTAGGTCACATTCTAACATGAATAATATGAAACACGTAGAATCTTGTGTAAATCGGCAAGAATCATCTTACAAAGTTAAGAACCATGTCATATGTAAAATTTATTGACAATCATAAGTTGACGAAAATTTACACCATCCATTTAAAAATTGTCTTTAAATCTATAGCACGAATCTTGATAACTCTTTGAATTATTAATGAATTTATTAACAAAGATTGTACGAATAACATTATTTCAAAGTTAAATAGCTCAATTAATACAACGATTTTATTAACAAACATTTCATGCACCAATAATTGTGCTGCTTCCCACGTGGCAATAAACCTTTATCAAAACAAAGACCCTGTAATAACTTCTCAAATCATCAACCTGGATTTTATAAAATAATTTTTAACTCCGAAACATTCTGGCAAAGCCACGTACCCCGTACACGTGTCATCTCAATGCCTACCTCACCTACTCGTATATGTATTTTCTTGTACCTACCTACTTGTGTATATACCCATGCAAGACCTCCATTCTTCATTCACAAATCATAATCAGCTAGAAATTAAGATCAAAGTTTATTTGTGTAATAGAAAAAAAAAAAAAAAATCATTTTTAGCTAAACCAAACAAGGACTACATTTTGTTGATGTCAATTATCAAATTAGAAGTACGAATCGAGTCATAGTTGACTTGGCACCTCTAATTTTGAGATTGTCCGGTACGACACGACCCGACTCGGCTCACATTTTTCTTTCTTTTTCCATATATATGTGTATAAGTTTTATTTTATTTGTTTGTAAATATAGATTTACATGGGTCACGGGTTTCTACAACCGAGCTTCGCAGGGATCGAGTTTAATGTCTCATCTTTAAAGGGAGGTTGTCCATGGTACATATTACCCTGACTAAGGTTTTTTTGAGATTATAAGTTGGTTAAGTATTAGGCCCTGTTTGGAAGGGATTAAATTTTTTTACAGTAAATCAATACTTATTTTCAACTACACATTTTTCAATAAAATAATATTTTCCATCACATCAATAATTTTTTCTTCTTTTTCAACCATACATTTTCTATCATATCACTATTCAAAATCAATTCTTTCCCCAAAAATCTCTCCCAAACAGGCTCTTATTCTTATATACACAAATTTGTAGTTATGACTTTTATTCACACATTATAATTTTAAAAATATTTTACCAAACATATACTAAGCCCATGTTTGTTTACCATTATTTCGAAAATGATTTTTTCTCACGCTCGTTTTTAATTACACGTTTTCATAATAAAATATTTTACACGTAAGTTCAAAAATTTTGTTTCTACTTTTTAATCACACATCTTTCAAAAATTCATCTAGTATTTCGAGTACGTTTAGTCTTTTACTTTTTTTAAGGGCATGTTTGATTAGAATAGATTTTATGAAAAATGATTTTGTTGGAGAATGTATGTTTTAAGAATTGAAAAAAAAAAGTTACAAGTTCACGTGCAAAATTGTTTAATTGAGAAACTATGTGATTGGAAATGAATTTGAAAAAAAAAATTAAATAATATGTAGGGCTAAGTTTTTTAGTAAAATAAATAATTTTAAAATGTATATTTGATAAAATAAGTCATGGTTTTTTGTTGCAAGAAAAGACAGAGTCAGGCAGTGAGTACCATGAAAAACAAAGCACGTGAAGCTAAAGACAAAGCCTCAGAAATGGAGCATTGTGCGCAAGACCACACTCGAGGGTCAAAGGATCAAATCGGCAGTTACCTTTCGGAGAAAGCTGGCGCGGTCAAAGACAAGACTTATGAAATAGCTGAATCTGCCAAGCAGAAGTGTTAAGGGATAGAATTCCACATCGAATAAAAATGTAAATATAAATGAATTTATAAAAGATTGAGTTACTCATCTTAACGAGGTTGACCTTTTAAGATTGAATTTCAATTCTTTACATAGTATCAGAGCTCATTAAGTTCTAACGAGTAATTCGATCCGACTAAAACTCCAAAAGTGAGCATACAGATTTCAAGATTGGTCTGCTCAAAACGAGCCACCATCTTGTATGAGCATGTTAAATGATAGAATCTCATATCGATAAAGATGTAAACATAAACCAATTTATAAATGATTGAATTATTTCTTTTAATAAAGTTGACCTTTTAAAATAGAATCCCAATTTTTAATAAGAAGGCTGGTGGAGCAGCCCAGGCCACCAAGGAGAAGGACGGCGGAATCTGGAAAAGAGAAGACCGGAGGAATTTTTCACAAGACTGGTGAACGAATCAAGGGGATGACACAGGGGGGCTGCTGATGCTATGAAGCACACATTTGGCATTGCTGATGTTGATCAGGATGATTCGAACGTTAATACTAGGACTAGGAGGGATTAATGATTTGAAAAATGTTTAGTTTGAAGTTGCCCCCAAGGTTTTTAGAGTTTGAAAAATGTTTAGTGCCAAAATGTGTTTTAAACCGTCACGTGATATTATATCAACCATTATGTCAATTATCTGACATTGTAGCATGATTCCTACTTCAAACTCTGTAACGAAATGGTTCAAACACCGAGTCCTTGTGCTTCTTCTTGGTTTGGGGTGGGAGTCTGCTTTAAAATCATCCATCCTAGTCGACTGATTCTGAAGTAAAAGAAAGAACATATTTTTCTTTTAGAATACACTAGGAGCAGCATTGAAAGGCGGTAACAAATACCCAAGTTGTGATTATCAAACGTCAACATCTTATAGTTTTTCAACTCTGTTTGGAATATGCTAAATAATTTTTCGAAATGCATTCTCAAAGTATTCCATACTGTAAAATTTCCTTATCCTCCAATTGTGTCTTATAGAAGCACGTGTCGGTGACTAATTATATTCAAATCATATTGTTATTATTTATTCTACCATATTCTAATTATAATTAAGGTCCTCAACTAGGGATGACAATGAACATGACAATGTGGTTATTACCATCTCATCCCATTGAGGATTTACAAGCACAGATATGGAAATGTAACGAGCTGAGAATTGCTTTGATTGACAATTCCATCATCGAACACGTCTGTTAGTGAACATTATGNGCTTTGATTGACAATTCCATCATCGAACACGTCTGTTAGTGAACATTATGTCGTTGTCTTTGGAAGTTTTTATATCATGAACTTGCCGCCACACTATATATTATAAATATACACTTTCGGCGTATAAAATACGATATTTGGTAGTTTTTTCCACAAAAAATATCATAATTTGTCGTATTTATGTTAGATAAGTAAGACTCAATACTTAAACGAGGAATTTAAAAAAAAAAAAAGGTGAAAATTGGTGAAAATGTGAAATCCAAAGTATGGAGACTAAATTGCAATATTTCAGTAGTTGATTCTGACCATAAAATGAAGATTGAAGATATTACAGACTCAATTGGACGCAATTAAAAGTTAATGATCAAAATTTCAAGAGAAAATGACTTACAAGAATCCCGAATCTAATTTGGGGACCATAACGCAAAGTTTGAAAAATTTTATGAAAAATTTTATAACTGGGCGACTGTTCAACTATAAATCAGGGCGACCACCCGACTTGTGGTTTCAAAAACAGAAGCTAAAAATATTGCGGGGGTGAGTGCCCAGTTTCCTACTAGGCGACAGCCTAGGCCAAAATTTGGCAAACGAGCCTGTTTATTTTTTCATTCCAAATTCTACATGGAAACCACTTTCGTGCACGATGTTTGGCCTAATTTCACCTCTAGAAATACTCAACATGGGCAACCAATATAAACCACTTCTCATATACATCTCATACTATAATATTCCATCAATTTTAATCATAAAAGAGGGACACAATCATATATTGTGAGAAGATTTTAAAGGCGAAACTCAAGATTTCATCAATTGGAGATTAAACGTGGAATTTGTGAGGGCAAAGAAATGAAAGAATTATTGCAACTTTATCAAGATTTCTTTGAAGAAATTCAAAATTATTGAGATTCATCTTCCTTCATTCATTAATTTACAATTCCGGGTGATGTTATACAAAATTATGACATTTTCTTTAATTTTGATATGTTAGCTTAGTTATTTAATTCCTAGGATGAGATGAATCATTGTTATGATATTTTTTGATTTTAATTTATTTTTAAATTATTGGATGTTTATTATCGTTTTTTATGGTTTTCAATTAATTAACCATCGGTTAAATTGTTTGTGGATTTTGTTGTTATCGAGAGAGACGGTAGAATCGTTAGCACAAAATAATAAACATTACAAAGTCACATAGGGGATAGAGATATACTGTTATGCTAAATTACACAATTTCTATAAGTATTTTACTACGTTTAATGTTTTACACGTTCGCATCTTTCATAAAGATACAGGAATGTCACATGTAAGAATAAATTTAATTAGGGTTAAACATGGTCCTATTCGATTCAGTTCTAAAGAAAATCGAACCGAACCCGAATTTTTGGGTATTTAGTAAGTGGAACCGTCAGATCGAAATTTAAATATGGAACCGTTCGGATTCAATTTGGTTCGATTCGATTTTCCGGGTTTCGTGCAATAATGATATTTTTTATATTTTCAACAATGCTACATTAATTCGACTATGACATATTCAATCTTAACTATTACAAAATAATGTAATTCGATTTCGTGATATTTTTTGCGTCACTCTTTCTTGAGTTCTTCATAAAATTGACTGTTAAAATCGCAAAAAGATAAAGATGAAGATGACGAGTTCACAATAACAGAACGGTAGAAACGAAACTACAATAAAATAAGAGATTTAGATAAAAATTAGTTAATTTGATTAAGTTGGGCTTGACGAAAAATGAAAAATAGTAAAATCATATTTTGGGTTTGAGTTAAATTAATTAGTTAACAAATTTATTTAGAAGAAATTAAAATAACTTGACTCATTTAAGATAAAAAAATTTAAAAATTAGAGAGATTCGATTCTTACCTATAGGTTCTCAATTCAGACACGTTTTGGTATTTAACTTATGAATAACATCTCGGTTAGGGCCCGGTTCGATTCGATTAAGGTGTTTTGTCCAACTCTAGATTTAATTGCTATCAAGAGAGGCTTTTAATTAAAAATGAATTTGTACTCCATGTCATTTTTTGGTTTTAAATTTTCATAAATGCCACTTTTTGAAAATCTTTGAAGGAATGCCATTTTTGAACATTTTTGCCCCTTTACAAAATTTAAACACCCTACAAGTCATTTATTAAATGAGATTTGACTATATAAAAAATTGTACCAAAAGTGAAAAATTGTTCCAAAATTTTGGAAATAAAAGAAAAAGTGAAAAAACAAAGACAATACACACCATAATTGGTCTCTCTCTCACATTCAAAATCTTTTAACCCTAAAAGATACAAGTCACTCTCTCACATTTAGGCATTGTTTGAGCCACCTTATTGTAGAATGAGAATGAAAAACATAGCCGTTATTGGAGCTCACACAAGAGATAGAAAATTTGAATTTAAATGTTGATATGATGGATAACCGTCATATTTTTCATTTTAATGAGATAAAAAGGTGGCCCAAATGGGGGTTGAAAATCTCAAAGTCCTTTAATCACTCTTCTAACGTCGTCGCACTCTACCCACTCTCTTTCGCCCCACCAACTACTATCACGTCAGTCGCCACACCAATTGCAACCCAGCATCAGGTCCGTCTCTACACATCTATCAATTGCTTGTTCCACTACTTAAAGACTAAAGTTTATGCTTCTTTGGATGTGTAGTATAATGGCATTAGAGATGTTTATATATATTTATGTATTTTGTTGTCAATGGCGATTTTTGTGTAAAATAAACCTTAGATGGTGCTAATGATGGATTTTGGTGTAAGGACAATTATCGATTCTGAATTTTGGAATGGGTAGTGTAAAAATTTCAGTTTACATAAATCTGTAATTCGAGATTCTGGAAAGATGACAATGAAAATTTGGTATAACAATATTATTTGTGCTTCTTACTCTTTTATCCCAACAAGTTTTTTTGTGTAAGTTTTTTTGGGTTTGATATGTTCTTGGGGTTGAGTGATATTTGTTAATGTCATTTGGATTTTAATTTTATATTTGCACTAATCAAGTTTGTCAAAACCTAACCCTTCATGTCTTGAAACACCAAATTGAATGACCAATGTAAATGTCAATCTCGACAAATATGGAAACATTTGTTGAAATGAAATGTCGTTCTCGATAGTTATTCTCAGTAATTCTCGACGGAATCGTTATGGAATTATTTGTTGATATGATCAAGTTGGGTTTAGCTGAACATTCCGTGTATGTTTTGAAATAAAACATACGAAATATCATCATCTGACATTTTTGCTTTCTTCACGTTCATTGTTCTTGCAGATGAATTTTGAGAGCGAGGTATGTTAATATTGTAACTGTTGTTTTGTATGAAGGTGTCGACCTGAAAGGTGCTTGTCTGGACTACCAAAAGGGTCCATCGGCAAGTGGGGTAGAGGAGGCGATTGGTGTGTGTTACTACTTTAATTTTACAAAGAAATTGTCCAACTATTTGGATTTCTTATCCTTATGATTTGAAACTTGTTTGTTTTGTATGAAGATGCTGACCCATAAGGGACATGCTAGGGTAGTCAAGAAGTTCCAAATGCTAGTGTCGTAATGGAGGCGAAAAGCAAGTTTCGTAATGGAGAAGTTATACAATGTCCAATTTTTTATGTTATACCTTAAGCATGTTTAGTTGAAGACCAATGTTTAATTTTGATGTCATAATTTAAATGTTGGTAAAATCTGTTATGTTATTCAATTATTAAATTTTGGTAACTAATACGACTCAAACCACTCTTGCATAGTACACACTAATGTACCATTGGCATCAACCATGATGCAGTTAACACAAAGAGGCAGCGATCAATATGTGTTCGAGTGCCTGCTACATCGACCAAAACTCCACTAATTATTGGGAAGCAGAAAAAGAGTCGAGCAATGTTAAATCAAGCAACATATCAGATACATTTTAGGAGTTAACTAGGCGAAATAGTCACCTATTCTCAAGGAAAGCGTAGTTGTTGTTTTGAATAGTTATTGATGTGATAGTATTTTTTGTTGTGTTTCCTTCACAATGGAAAAGTGTCGTGATTTTTTTTTTGTAGCTTTCTACTTTAGATTTGTTTTACAATTCCTAGTAATGATGCACTTTCTTTCATTTTGGTATAACATTCACTTAAACGTTGTGTGTTTCTAGGGGAAATTTGATGGTAACACAGATGAATTTGTTAATTTTGCAACTAAGTTATACTTAGGTTATCAACTATATTTATGTTCTACAGTTTTTACTAGGGATTCACGAGATAACGTATGTACATAATGTTGTGTGTCCGATTATCCGTTACGCCCGAATTTTTAGTCTAAT